CTTGTGCTGCCGCCCCAGGTTTGAGATCACCCCTCCCCCTTATAACGATCGATGGCAACCCCCTTCCATCTTCACCACATATAACTTATTCATCCTCACAGACTACAACAATGGCGCTTTCCAGCAGAGGCCGTCTTGGAACCCTTCGAGTGTTCGGGCCAGATTCTGATGGAATCGTAGCAGCTTGCTCGAATCTGATGGGAAAATATGGCTGCAATATTGTCAAGAGTGAAACTTGGTCGGATCAAAAAGAAAACATGTTTTTCAACCGTCTTGTCTTTACACATGATCAACCCGACAAGGTGGCTTGTCAACAGGATCTGACAGAAATTTGCAAGGATTTTCAGCTGGAGAATCGATTGAACTGGCGTGATCGAAAAAAGAAAGTTGGCATCATGGTGTCAAAGTACGATCATTGTCTTTGGGAATTGCTGTTACGTCACTCAGCAAACGAATTACCAGAAATGGACATTGAATTGGTAATTTCCAATCATCCTGATTTGCAATCGGTAGCAGAAACTTTTCAAGTCCCCTACCATGTCATTCCCGTTACCCCCGAAACCAAGGCAGAAGAAGAGGCGAAACAGTTAGAGCTGTTGAAGAATGTAGATGTCGTTGTCTTGGCCAGATATATGCAAGTATTATCTGGCGATTTTCTACGACAGTTTCCAGAGAACATTATCAATATTCACCATTCCTTTCTGCCTGCTTTCATGGGTGGGCGTCCGTATCACGCGGCACATGATCGGGGTGTCAAGCTTGTTGGAGCCACAGCGCATTACGCCACTGAAGATCTAGATGAAGGACCCATTATTTCACAAGATGTGATATCTGTAACACATCGAGACGGCGTGAAAGATTTGATGCGCAAAGGTCGAATTCTGGAACGAAATGTGTTGTTGAAGGCGTTGGAGGCACATTTAGAGGATCGAGTGATTGTTCACAAGAATCGTTGTATTGTATTCGAAGACTGATGTTTTGAATCTTGGCAAAATATTATACACCATCTTGCAATGCAATTCAGTCTTCAGGAAAGAATATAATTCAAGGAGTAGTGATGGTTTGATTGGCTTTTTTGCTACGAATACAATTTCGATCAAAAGCGAACCATCTGATATTACACATCCTGAAGAACCATCCATGCCAGGAGCTACAGCTGCAGTTCAATGGACAACACGACTAACGAATGTGGACAAATTAGATTGTAGAAAGTGCATCCCATGCTTTCAGAAAGTACTTCAATCATCCAAAACAATACACAACACAATTCTAGTCCTAGTAAAAGAAAACAATAAAAACTGCAAACATATTCCAAACATCCAAACGCAAAAACAGGATCCCAGCATAATGAAACGGAAATTGTCCTTAGTTGAGTTACCGAAAATCAAACCAACAAAATCCTCTGTGGAACGCCAATCGTAAGTAGGTAGCAGAAAAAATAGATTCGTTTACGGATCAGGATCGGCAGATCGGGCTTGCTTGCTGGAAGTTCCAAACATAGGGTTCATGTTGTGGTAACGCATGTAAGCTCTTTGGGCAGCGACGTGCTCGGGGTTCATGGTTTGTGGAAGACCCTTTTGGTTCACTGTCAGAGGAAAAGAGAAAACAGAAAAAAATCGTGAGTTGGTGCAGTCGGAATTTTGCTCCACGTAGATCTGCAGTAGGATACGTACTGAGAGGAAGGTAGCACAGAGCCGAAACAACGCCAATAAAGGGAACGATGACCTTGGCAGGTGGCATTCTTTGAATCTTCTTCAAGAAGGTTGGGGTCGCAGCATTCTCAACATAGTAAGCGCCACGGTTAAGGTGTGTTCTTGCTCCACCTGGAGGGGGTTCGTAGAAAACTCGCACCATCGTCAACAACAACAAATTTGACCGACGTTGGT